GAAATATTTGTATCATAAATCGCTTATATACATATATATATATATATATATATATATATATATATATAAGATAACTGAAAAGAGTGATAATTTCTGAAAAAAAATTTAACAAACACAATGTGTACTAGGTATAGTAAAAATAAAAAGATAAAAATTTCCTACGAAATTCATGTTTCGTAATCGACTTATTTTTTTTTCAGAAACTACGCCTTATTTCGCAAGTTAATTGAACGCACATAGTTGCCTTCGTTTTCATGGGACTATGTCCTATTTAGTTGTTTGATTTACCAACTCCCTTAGTGGGGCTGTTGATGCCCTGGGCAAAAAAGATGGCCGAGATAAGAGCCGTGAAGAAGAGCGTCGTTACCCACCCCGCGTACATGCGCAGCACGATCTTCCATCGGACATTTCGAAACCCAACATCGATCATGCTGACAGCCACCACCGCCCCTGTGATGCAATGGGTCGACGATATCGGAATTCCGAACATCGTCGCGAAAGAAACCACCATCGCCGTCGCCAACTCCGCCGAGAAGCCACGAAAAGGGGTGATGACCGCTATCTTTTCGCCCAGCAAACGCATGATTTTCATGCCGAAGGTTGCTAAACCGACCACGATGCCAATACCACCCAAACACAGCATCCAAATCTTGACCTGGGCCACATTGGAGACGTCGTGCGAGGTGTAAATACCCCAAATCGCGGCGAGCGGGCCGATGGCATTGCTCACGTCGTTCGCGCCGTGTGCGAGTGAGGTGCAGGCCGCGGTGAAAACTTGAAGATAGCGGAACATGTATTCCGCGCGGGGGTCAAAATGGGGGGTCCCTTGCTTATCATGAGAGATAAAAGGGTAGTCCGCGCCGATCGCGGCCGGGTGGGAGGCCGAGGCCGCGTGGCTGCCGCCCATCCGCGCCTCCACCCCGTCGTGGTTGGGGGTATCCAAACTGTCGGGATGGTCCTCGTTCATGTCCTCGTCGGTGTCGTCGTTGTTGAAGACCACCGCCCCGGTGGTTTCCGTCGGCCCGTCCAGACTCTTCCCCGCGCTCTCTTTTGGATCACACCGGACGGCGGATCGGCTCAAAAGAACCTTGTCCAGGTCATCCATCTCTCGGGGGGCCCCCTCGTGTCCTTCCCGTAAATCCCCTTTTGGTCGGGAAATCACGGAAACCTGAGGGATGGCCTCCGGTGGCAAGGGCCGGCCAACAATTAGGATTGAGCGCATGGCCTCAATAACGGAAATGCCCTTTTCCGACGCCACCGCATTCGCCTCCTTCTCCATGCCTCGAATGCGCTTCTGCAGGAGTGCAATACAGGGAATGGAAAGAAGCGCTATGCCCCCACTCACCGCCGCCGCGACCCACGCCGACCGACCGAACGACCATTTAAGCTTGCTCGACGCCGCAATCAAAAAGATGAAAACAAACTCCATAAAGCAAGTCACGAATACCACCACTGGCATCGTGTAGGGCGCCACATAGGCCGCATTTTTACGCTCCAGGATCAGATAGCGAACCGCACAGTAGATCACCATAGCCACCGCCCCGGTTAAGATCGGGGAGATAATCCAGGAAACCACAATCGGCACCACGCCCGTGACGTAGGGGAAGGAATCGGAGGGTTTGGCCCAGTGCACCGAGCCGAACCCGCCGTACACCAACGCGAAGCCCAGAATCCCCCCCGCCACGCTCTGATGCGAGGACACCGACAGCTCCTTCCACGTCGCGATGATCAGCCAGAGGAAGGTCGCGCCGAGGGTGCACAGGAAGCCGTACATCAGGACGTAGGGCTCGTCCGTGAAGGAAGAGGCACTCGCAATGCCGCTTGACATGGTCACGGAGACTTTGCTGCCGAGCAGGGCCGCCCCGCCGAACTCACAAAAGGTCGCGATGATGATGATATGCGTAAGCGTGAGGACGCGGGACCCATAGCTGGTCCCAAAAGCGTTGGACAGGTCGTTCGCACCATTCCCATAGGCAACAAGGAAGCTCGTGATGATGCCAAAAATAACGATCCATAAGTAGGGTTGAATCATTCTCCGCCTTTGAGTCAAATATAAGTAACACAGACTATAAAGAAAATATATAAATAAATATCGTATTCTGTAAACTTGGCAAGAGGCAGGAGAACTAATCCTGGGTGGGTAAAAGACGTAAAAACAGTGAGGAAAAAGATAATAGTCCTACACATGCTCAAATGAAAAAGTAACCTGATAAAATGAGTTTTAGTGCTGTATTGCTAGTCAAATTTCCTGGTCAATGTTCTCTTCAGATAAACTGAGCACTATTGATTGTAGAAATGAGGAAAAGGATGGGAGGGGAGGGGGGGGGGGGAAGGAAAGGGGGGAGGGGGAGTGGAGGAAGCTAGATTAAGAGAAAAAGTATATGGGAGTTCCACATCATGTGTGCTCTCTCATACAGCTTCCCTGTGGTGTTTCTTTCTTTATCGGTTATACATTCAAGCGTTTTCTCGGTTTTCGGACACGAGAATTGGGAACGCTATGGACCTTACCGCTTTGACGCGGCGTACGCCATATTCTTCGCGTGATTCAATAGCCATATATTTAAGATGATATCATCCCATACGACGAAGCAGATAAGCACCAGATACAAATAAACACTCCAAAGATCATTTCCCTTTCTTATGAGCCGGAGAAGATAGTATACTTGCCAACTCCAGTTGATACTACAACACAGGCCGTAAACCACTAGAGCCATAAAAGAAAGAATACGAGCAACCGACGGGGTCAGCCCAAGAAATCGGGAAGCCAACAATACATTCACACAGTATCCGAATGACGAAAACCCCGCGTACACGACAATACAACGGAAGATGTTCTCCTTTTTATAGTCATTCATAATGCTGAAATAGTTAAATAACACAACGCACAGGTGGTGTATCCACGTTGACCACCTCATCCGCTCGACGATGATCATGGAGATAAAATCAGGAAGGGCAAAGATGCAACCTAAATTGCGTAAAATATTGCTTTCCCACTCATCATAGAGCACAATACGGCTGAGCTGATACACCGCGAATGGGGTGATGCTGATCAAAATGCCAGCCTTAATAAGATTGCCGATGATGTAGAACTTCTTTTTCGTTGAGGAGATACGACGAAAGGAACTCGAGTAGTTCTCGAGAAAGTAGTAAGCCATGTAATATGAGGAGAAAGTCAGGTAGCTGCCGACAAGAAATAGGCCAAGGTGGTCCCGTGTGTCTAGAACATGGTTTTGGAGAAAATAAACCACGATAATGTTTAACAAAGCAGCTAGTCCTGTGACCGCAATGGCGGGCTCGAGATTTATATTCATGTCCAACACATATGCACGTACAAATGAAGTGGGACTGCTGGATGGAAAGCTTGTTAAAAAGGCCCTCTCCGTGGAGCCATCCTTGGAAACACGCCCGGGACCTCGGCGGTATCGCAGGACACCCCCAGTGGGGCTCGCTGGGGTTGCAATAAAAGGCTTAGACTGTTTCTTCGAAACCGCGAGCGAACGGTGAAAAAGATTCGTGCCGTTGCCCATAGACGCGGCTTTGGGACCGTTATTCGCAAATAGTTCAGAACGTGCACTCAATAAAGTTGTATCCAATGGTTGGGTTTGAAGGAATTGGGTAGTGGGGTACAATGATGTCGACCGCGTGGACGATGACAGGTCTAGAAACATGGGATTGATCTCTTCTATGGGAGCTGGCGTGCTCAATGGGATCGCACCGCCTTGTAGGACTCCCCTCAGTGGCACGTCGGTTGGCGAATACCTATTATTAAAGTCTGCCCCCCGGCGTCGATAACCAACTTGGGCAGCTGCTGGGAAGTTTATTTGCCTGCACTCGTAATACGCCTTGACTATTTCCAAAAGCTCTTCATCGAAGTCATTGATGGGGGAGCCCTTTCCAATCCGTTCGGTCACGGCGTGGGCCGCTTCTGTTTGGAACTCAACGTCCTCTGGTGAGGCCGCGCCAACGGTTCTATCGTGGTGGTTTCCCTCCTTTGAGTGAGGAAGATTTTCCGAAACTGAAATGTGGTGGTGCGTAGCGACGCTGCCGGTGTGGTGATCATCCCCCCTGATATCGACCTCGCCCCCAGTGTTCATCGTCCGCTTGGTAGATTCCCAAGTGCTGGATGAGGAGTCTGTATGCGTTAGGGATGGGGGGCGGCGCCGATAGGGTGCCTTCTCTTTGTACTCATCCCTGTGGTCCCACTCGTTGTCCATGGTGGAGGACTCCATAGAATTTCCGATCTCTCCCTGAGACTCATCGTATCTCTCCCTGTGAGGGTCTGATGAGGGATCAGACGAGTTGGTCAGCGATGTCCGAGCGACGTACCGCTCCACTCGTTCTACGTAGCCCCAATAGGGATTGTCTTCTTGTCTGTCGTAGGCCACCAGCTCATCATAAACATTGGTGATAGAAGTGGTGGTCGTCCTGTGGTCGAAGTCCGAAACTTGATTCCTATCAGGGGTTTTGGTCCTCGTCCTGGTGCTGATGAAACGTGTGTAGTGTCTCTCCTTGACTACATCTTCATAGGTTGAGGAATAAGACACAGAGGGAGAATCAAGTTCCTCCTTTTCGTTTGAATCCATATTCACGGACAAAATAGGAAGTAGAGTTCCCCAATTGAAGTTCAATTAAGTAATGATGTGTTACAATAAAATGTATATATATATTTTCTACTAGAATAACAGTAGCCTTTGTTTGTGTTCTTTTTTCTTCTACAAGGAAAAAAGAAGACTAAGTAGAAAATTCCATATATAACTATGGAATCATAAATATAGGTATATCAGTTCTTACCCACAAAGTCTAACCTTTCACTTTCCCCACATGAATGCCCCTTCTCACTGCTTTATACTGAAATAAACAAATATCTTGAAGTTGGTAGTAATTCAGTAATTTCGCATTACATGCACAATTCAATAACATTCCACCACAGGTCTAATACAAATTTATACACTGTAGCAACCCTTATGAAGTTTCTTGCCAGGAAGGCGACATATTATTTCACTCTTTAATTATAAAATTAAAGAGGTTATGATTAGTAAAATATTATTAAAAATCACCTTTTATATTTGAAATAGAAGATTATGGGATGTGTGCCAATATACTATTTAAAACAAGAGTTAAATTTGTTAGGATTTTTTTTTGATAATACATCTTTCATTCAGTTCCTATCTTAACAATGTTAACTTAGGTCTACTGAAATAATAACGAATAAGATCCAACGGTATTGTACGTGTATTCAACACTATTTCTCTAGTATTTATTGTACCGGTGTGTTGCTTTCCGAAACGGCCACGGCGTCGCGCCAGTACTTATCTTGTTTATTTAAAAGGAAATACAAAATATTCGAAAAGCCACCCCTGCCATTTGAGTAAATGCTCTGCCCACTGAAAATATATGATGCTTTTTGTTCATTATTGGGGTCAACTGCCGCATAATAACGTTCTTCTTCGGGATCAATCATGGCTTGCATGGATTTCCTTGGATTAGGTGGAAATATCGACACCAGGGCACCGTTTTGCGTAGTGCCAGGTGCCAACGGGTTCGCTAACTCTATTTGTGTGGCACCGAGCCACACACCACGCCATTGTCGAAAAGCTATATATGTAAATACAGCACATGTAATGAGGCTGGTATGGAATAAGCACGCCCCTAATGTGTTAGACAACGTAGGTTTAAAATAAAGGAAAAAAAGTAGGCCTTACTAAGTAGTCCCTTGAAGAATGACATCGGCATCTCAGGTTTGGATTCAAGCAGACTAAGTTTTGGGGGTAATTGACCAGGCAACCCGTAGATTAAAAGCTGCACAAAGATCTTCGTCCAGGAATAGATGGTTCCGCTAACGCTTTTGCTCACTAAAGGGAGAATTACAGAGATATCAGGCATAAACTCTCTCTCTTCTCGAACATAGTTCTCGATGATACTAGAGCTCTTGAAGGCGATGGTAATACTTTCAAACCACGACCTATCCATTCGAGTGACGGCAGCCAAGTATATCATCGCTTGATGTAACCCCCAGAGAAATATAAGCCCCTCAAAGAGAGCAAGAAACGTGACACTTAGAACAAAGAGCACATGGTTCGACTCCCCCACAGGACAATCCAGCAAGATCGAATACCCATCATAGCGCCTCACCACGACATCCCTTTCAGGGCAGTAAAATGAACGTAGTGGAAGCTGTACATGGCGTTCCATCAGGTAACTACGTGGGTGAAGGCAACGGTACGCTCGCCGCTGTAAGATACGCCAAAGCGGAGAGTTCCACCACGTACCACCCTCACATTTTTTATCGACTGATCGCATAGAAAGACATTTGGTGAGTACCATGCTTGTTATTGTAAGCCCAAGGAGAAGTGACAGCACCGTTGTGGTCATTTTGCTGAAAGAGTTATCGAAAAGGTATCCCAGAACCTGACCACCGAAGTACCCATGGGTGTCCTGAATTACAGTGTCAAGTCTTTCTAAAATATGGGGTTTATCCAACACCTTCGCGCGCAAGTTGGCGGCTGAGTTCGAGAATGTAAACACACCTGGAAGGAAGGGCATGAAGCCAAGGCTGTGCCAGGCCACCACTTGCAAACCTAATAATGTCAGAAGCGCAAAGAAGTTGGAGGGCTCACGCTGGCGAAACTCCGACGTACCTCGCAAGGCACCTGCTATGCTGGTGACGATCACGTGAGTCGAAAAGAAGCTCTTACTGTGCGTGGGCGCCGGCTTGCTACCTTGGATTCGCTGTGGGGCCAAGTAGTTCCATAGGAAATTTTTCAGCAAATAAAGCCAAATCGGAAAGTAGCTGAAGACCGGGTAGATGAGATATAAAAAGAGGTAGAATAATAGGACATAGACAACCCCACTCAGCGCACGGAGGGCAAACATGGGATGAGAATGTATCATGCGTAGCGTCCCCGCCGATCGACGTTCCCGCACAGTGACATAGCTATTCCCGAAGTGACATTTTGGCGACTCATTGGTATCCTTAAGAATAGAAACGAAGTTTTGAGGGGTCCGGTCGCACGCTGGGGTTTCTCTATTGGTAATCGTTTCTACAGACCGATCCGGCGCAAGATGCGGTGTCTCATCTTTGGGATCCCCCTCGCCCTTAGCAAGGAACTTAACGGAAACCGAAGGATTAGGGTAGATTATATCTCGGCACAGGTGAGCCTCCAGTACATAGGTCGCCTCGAGGTGACCACGACTTTTAGCATAATAAAGGGCAGTGGAGCCATCATGATCCGACGCCCCCGTGTCGGCACCGCAGCTGAGTAAATATTCTAAGACCTCGGCGAAGCCCTCTCGAGCGGCCCAATGCAGTGGGGTCCGGCCTTGGCCATCGCACAGGTTTACGGCAAATCCCCAGTACTCCACAAGGTATTGACAGATTGAGGTACTATTACGCCAGGCGGCCCAGTGGATTAAGCCATGACCGGACAAATCACGGCGGTCGGGGCTAAGGTCGTAAAAGCGGCAGTTTTCAGTTTCACTGGCGCTTTTTACAGGTTCGCCTTGCACGTACCGACCTCCTTCCAAACGAAGCGTCCCGGCCGCAATGCTATCTTCAGTTAACATCAGTAAGGACGGCAGTTGATCGTTCTGCACCGCGACAAATGCAGCATCATAGCCTTGTTTATCCCGCTGGGAAGGATCGGCCCCGTGATCGAGGAGAAAGCGGACGATATCCATCTTCCCGGCAATAATTGCCCAATGAAGCGCGGTATGACCAAGTGAATTGCTCACATTCACCGCTGCTCCTTTGTCAACTAAAAAACGCACTATAGTAAGGTGCCCTCGAAATGCAGCCCACATGAGCGGAGTCGCGTCCTGGGATTCGTACAACGCTCGACGTGTGGGGAGATGGATATGTCCCTGAAGGTACATGTGCATCACCATCGGCAAGTTGCCATATGCGCAGGCCTCTTCGAAGGAAGAGGGCTGCTGTCGACGGCAGACCGCGTTGTTGCGCAGTATTCGGTCCCGCGCGCGCTTTTCGGCGTCCTCAGCTTCAAAGAGGCTTCCACAATGACAAATGCTATACGGAAAGGTGTCGATAGGCCTGACCATCTCCTGCGGCGTCCCCGGCAGGTAAATATCAAGACCGAGAAGCGCCCCCAAAGACATCTTCCTTTGATCGGATTTCTTGTTTTGTCTGATCAACCACACTTACACACGGACAATGGTGTCTAATAGGGGGAAAGGAGTACACTAAACTATTTAGACTACGGTGTATTTTTATCTTCTCGACTAATACAGGCAGGATGTATTTATAGGTCAGTGATTACTAAAGAAGGTTTTCAATAATATTTTGGTAATACTAAATCTGATCAAATACATAAAAAGAGGATATGCAAGTAATCTTTCTTCAATATTTCTGAAAGATTATACTAGACAGAAATACACACCAAACCTTTTTTTTGTATACTGGAAAAATGGTGAAAAGGGTGAAATAAGAGTTATTGCTAATGATAATTCGTCTCTATTTCTCTCTACTATAAAGTTTCTAAAAAACTCATAGAAATCAATCATCATACCAGTAATTAAATAACCTAGGGCATGAAGAGTAGGACTCAAGAATTTTCTCCTCAAGTTCTATGAACTCATAGATATCACACTCATAAGCTCCATCCCTTCCCAAGACTTTAAGTGTAATAACGCAACCTCAAGGCAAGCTGCCCGAAGGATTCTCGGCCAAAGACAATAAATTCTAAAGTAGTGTGGAAATCACTTATCTGTAGAAAACCATCTATATGTATTCGCTCCTCACCAGCGTCTGCGATTTTTCCAAAGTTTACCTGTCCATTTCCTATGTCAACCTGTTATCCAGAAAAATGAACCACCTCGGTGACCACCTTTTCTGAAGAGCCATCAATATCAAAGCCATAGTATGCGTTTCGATGTAGCTAAATAAAATACATAGCAACCAATACTACCCTTTTTGTTGGATAACTGAGGGGGTGCTTGTGAAACGCCTTAAATGTGTAATTGTAGTGGTGGGGAAGATCCCCCAAAGTTAGCAAGAAGAATAGCGTTCATGACGGTGGGGTGTCTGGTATTAGGGTATCCAATCCTATATGCCACGGTGGGGTCAGGGAACATAAATAAAAAATTCTACTTGGACACCATCGTAGAGGAAATAAAACTTGTGTAAGAAAACAGGACAAAACAAAACAATATAACCCTGTATCCCAAAAATATATCTACGTTATAACATGGCAAAAAGCTGTCAACTCATTTTGTTTCTGTGAGAAAGGATATTTCAGCACATATAGGCTGAATGGAACATGTCTGATCATGTGGGTCCTGGAAGTAAAATAATTTGATATTGAATTATACTTTTTAGGTCCAAAACATCCCATCACGAACACAGGGGAAAAAAAGAGACTCTTCTCTTTTCCTAATTGATTTATCATTTGTGCAAAGATTCTAAAATAAGATCCTCTACATCTATTTATGTGTGTACATTTTTTATACGCTTGCATTTATGTGCCTCAAACCAAACAAAGTAGAAAAACTGTGATTTGAAAGCAGAATAAACAACCTCTTCCTTGGGAATGTGAAAACTCCTCTTGGTATCAAATGAATTGACCAATGATGTCATGATGAGAATTCATTTACTGATTACCATAAGTGTCTTTATCGTTCTCACTATCACTTGTCCTCACACCAGCCCACCGATGGACTGTGTTCGGGTCGAGAAGCCGTTGCGTATATTTTCCGGGGGATGCACGAATCTGCATGGCCAATTCTTCGAGGGCTCGCCGCGTATGCGCAGCTCCTTCTTTTTCATATAGCGATGTCTTTTCATCATAGTCCGCTAAACGAACCCTATTATTTCCTTGGACATTATAGCTTAAATCAGCAACCTGCTGTGCTCTAATGATATTTCTTCTTTGAATGGCCTCCCGCCATGAGATATAGCGACCACTTTCTATTGTCATAGGCCTCGCAAAGGTTACCTCGCGATGTACAAATGGCGGTAAATAATCCTCTGGGGCGTTAAGCCTGGACTCTCTTAAATTTTCTAAGGCATTCGTCAGATAGTGCCAAAGGGTGTATATGTAAGGCCCTCCATACCACAACGATAGGACTAAAAAGGTAGCCTCTCTATTCTGCGCAACAAGTAGGAGGAAGTTAAGTATCACTAGACCATGCATTCCCCACTGTGTTCCGGCGTAGAGAAGGCGGTCAGAAAAAAAGAGGTGCATCAACAACGACGACAGCGTGCCGGCGAACAAGGCTGCGATTCCCCAGGCCACGCCCCCTGGCAACCCCGCTAACAGCTCCTGAAAGGCGAGAGGAAGAAAGGAATGTATGCCCACGCCCAACACGTTGGGGTTGGTCAACACGTAGCCCAACGCGCTTAGTAGGACCTCCGCAAGCGCCGCAACCCCGCCCATTCCAAGAATCACAACCACGCCGATTCTCCCCACACTCAGCGCCTGAAACTCTCTGAGGAAATATATAAAACAAAGAATGATCAGAATGAAGCTTCCGTACACAGCACTGAAGAGGATACGCAAAAGGCGGCTGTTCACCATACGAACCTGAAGCAGACGCAATCCCACCAGCATGAGGCAAAGCTTCATCCAAAACCAGTCGAAGACAAGAGACTCCTCAAGATGGATGGGCAGGGATGGCATGGTACTGCACTTCCCACGTGCAGATGGAAGAACGGTCAGTGCAAGACATGTCGTCTGCGTTGCCGGCAGTGTGGCTTTCCATTTGAAGTAAAAGTCCTTGAGCGGCAAGGAATCACTAGGTGACGTTGAGGTACGTCTTTCCCCTTTAGAGGATGCTGCGAAGTCACTTCTCTGACCTATATCACGTTCCTCCATGTATTTTTCCACAGAAAGAACGCGACGACCAAGCATCTGCTGAACCCACTCAGGTAACCGTAGTTGTGAACGGGGTTGGTAAGGCCCTAGCTCTTCGTATAGTCGCGATAGAAAGTCCTTTGTAGCATACATCATTTGTGGAGAGGGTCTGGGATAGCCATTATCACCATCTACATCTGAAATAGAAATCTCATCGGTGTTCATTCTCTCGGCGAAATAGTCGGATTCTTCAAAGTTGAGAAAGGAATAATCACCGTTATGGCGTTCGGAGAAACCAAAAAAACGCTTTATCAAACGATAAATCAAACGGATGACGCCACCAGGAGCAGGCCCTTGCTCTTGCCCAGTAAATAAACTACTCAACAAACCACCCCCCCCAGCCTCGGCGCGTCGGATATACTCTTGGTCTTCTTCCTCGTTGACGTATTCATCATGCTGCAGTTTGCGTTTAAGGGAGCGAGCGCGTTCATTATTCCGTTCTTGAACTCTCTGTAGATATGAATGGGCGTAAATAATTGAAGAGAAGTCGCATTTAAAATGAAATTTATTGTGCGACGTACCACCATCCGGAGTGAGAGAAATGAGTTGCCGGAATGGGGCGAACTCCTCGATATCAACCGACACTGGTGGGTATGAAACGATTCTAAGCTTCTTTAGAAAGGCTTCACTAAGTAGCGCTGCCCTTGATAGCCGTGCGGCGCCTTGCCGCTGCTTTTCTAGGAAAAGCGAGCGCGCAGGCTCGTTCGCCGGCGCACAGGCCTCGTCGCCGTACTGATCAACGGGAAAGTGAATTGTTATCGTGCGAACCGCGAACAACCGCGCAAGGGCTGCCGGGCTGTACCAGGGGTACTGACGTAACTTGTCTAACACCGGCCCCACAGCGGCGACCACACGCAAACCACGTGAAAACCACCACCACCCGCGTTCGTCCTGGAACTCTGTTCTCATCTTTCCAGCGAAATCACCATGCAGGGGGGAGGATTTCTCCGTATCTGCGCGCCGAAAATGGCCCCGCAGAGCATCAACCCAGGATGTCCCCATGCTGCGCAAGGGGGACTGCAGGGCAGCCTCAGAAGGGCCTAAAAGGACGTGCAAAGCCCCACTACCGTAGTGACATGGGTCGAGCGCGCGAAGTCGCCGCGGCGTCGGCGTGGAGCCCCGAGATGGCTGGCTTTGGTTAAGCTGGAGTCCGCCCCCACAGCACCCACGCACCCAGGCCTCGTCGTCGCCCTTGTCCAGCTCAGCGTGCGACCCCCCG